AGATCCTGATCTGGGTTCTGGTTCTGGAGCAGATCCTGGTCTGGGTTCTGGTTCTGGAGCAGATCCTGGTCTGGGTTCTGGTTCTGGAGCAGATCCTGGTCTGGGTTCTGGTTCTGGAGCAGATCCTGGTCTGGGTTCTGGTTCTGACTCGGTGTGTTTTTGTCAGGTTTTCAGTCTCGTCAACAACGCCTCAGCTCGCAGTGCGACGGACTTCCTGCTCCTCCACGGGACAGCCGACGGTGAGTCCTAATGCACCCCTACACCATCAGAGAGGCAGGTTTTAAAAACATGTTTATATTATTGTTTGTTTACTCTCTGATTCTGTTTGTTTTGTTTTCAGCCTCGGTTCACTTCCAGCACTCTGCAGAGCTGATCAACCTGCTGAACGTGTTGAGTGTAAATTACACCCTGCAGGTAAGACACTGACGTTTCCTCGTCCTCTTCGTCTGGTAAAAACGCTGAGTCATGTTTGCTRATTCAGGGTTTCTGTCCAGATGTTCCCAGATGAAGGCCACGTGGTCTCGGCCGACAGCCGGCGCTACGAGCTGAGGTCGGTGCTGAACTTCTTGGGGCGCTGCTTCTTCCAGGCCGAGCAGCCGCCTCCTCCAGAGACGTCCAAAGAGGAGGAGTGAAGGCGACGGACCTCCTGCAGAAACACCGAAGGGCTCCGATCAGACCGCGCTTTAACCTTTATAATTGTTTTTATGGCTCGCTCTTTAATAACAGCAATAAAATAAACATCACTGTCAGAGACCAAAAACTGTAACGAGAAAAAAACACGTCAAAAACAGACCAAGATGCTGCTTTTCTTTCATTTATGATTAAATATTTAAAGGTTTGAATCGTTGTYGTTTTGTTCTGCAGTAAAGAAACAGATCATGTTTATAAACAGCTGTAATCTTTGTGTTGCACTTTTTAAATCCCACAATGTGAAGAAAGGTTGAAATGAAACATGGAGCTCGTATCATGAGTCAGAGAGTCCCAGGTTTTGGTTCTGTACCGATACAAACTGTTCTTCATCCTGTTATTTATCACATTTCATGGAAAACGTCCTCATTAACAGACATTTGTATACCTGAGAGTATTTAAAAATAAATTATTAAACTTTTTTTTTCATGTGTTCCATTATTTTCTGACAGAGTCTGGCAGGTGTGTTCTCTTGGGCTCCCCCTACAGGTGTGGAATGGATCATCAGCCGTGATGGCGACTAAATATATAAAAATAAATTTATATAAATCATATGCAGTTAAAATTAATATTAAAAAGAACCATTGATGAGAATTTGAATTAAGAAAATCAGAATATCAGGTGGAGTTAGTGAAGTGCTTCTGAAAGGGTTCACTCCTTTTTGTTTTGCTGGTGAATAATCCGGCTACAGGTGATGAGCTGCTCAGGTGTATAAGTCAAAAACGATCAAACTCAGGAAGTTTGTGTTATTAATGGTTGACAATATAAATGTGCAGTGAAGATAAAAACACAACGATCAGGTGACGCGTTGGTTACAACCTGAAAAACAGGTTCACCTGCCGCCGAGTGCGCCGGAAGAGAAATGGGGCGGATCAGACAGGAAGGTCACGTGAAGACATCCGCGACGCTGAAAGAAGCGACTTAAGCTAGCAGCAGAGCTCGGTTAAATTTATTTATTTTAAACAACGGGTTTTAGAGTTTATTTCTGATTTTATGACGACACTGAGCTGAATTAGGACGGTTCTGGTAAGTCTATAATCTTATGTTTTTTAAAAGGTGGGTCACTTTGTGAACTAATTAGCTGCTAATAGCTGAGCCACAACAACAACCAGCAACAAACACTAAACAATTTTAGCCAAAATAGTTGTGTTTGTAATGTTTTTACATTTATTTCTCTTGTGGTTTATGTTGAGTTTATAAAGCTACTGTGCCTTTGTTCTTATTGAGTCAAATTTTACAAAACGTGTAAGTTTAGGAGGAGTGGTGTTGCACTAAAAATTGTACTCCCGTTATTTGAAGTTCACGTGAGGCGGGAACACCCCCCCCCCCCCCACAAAAAAAAAAAAACTAAAACAAAACAAACACAAAGCTAAAAAGTGGGGAATCGTATCGGACGGTTAATATCGGCCCAGTTTTATTTGTCGGACGATACAAATTACTAATATCGGCCAACACCGATGTTAATGTTGATATTATATCCCTGAAACCTAGGGTTAGGGTTAGATGAACTCAAAGACGCCACTGTAGAAATAAGACAAATATAACTTACTAAATTCACAAGCTAATATTACACACAGACTGCGTTATTCACCTGTTGCTAATTTCAGCAGCTTTCTTTCATTATCAACAGATTTGCATCAAAACAGTTTTGTGGAGGAAAAGTTCATCTTTGAAGATGGAAAATATAAATATCGTTAAAACTTAGGAAGTAAAATGAAAAAATTAAAATGAAGAAAACAATGTGGACCTGTGTGCAAAGACAAAGGAGAAGTGGGAAGTGTCTTTAAGGATTAATAATTTATATTATATTAGGTCAGGTCTTAAAATTTTGATCAGGACAGGATGTTAGCACAGGGTTAGCATAATGTTAGCATTAGCATTAACAGCAGCCTCTTTTGTTTACAACCACATAGTTTATTAAACAATACTTAGCTCCTGTGATAAACAAATAGTCTTTTAAAAATGTGTGTAGGTAAATTACTAAAAGCACAAACATTTAGCTTTTAAAGAACATAGATGTCAAAGTTACTGTTAGCATTCTAGTTAGCATGGTTAGCTTTCTAACTAACTAGCTGGTATTTTGTATTTTAGTTTAAGTTGTTATTCTTTACTTTTGTCAAGCTGCTGCTCGTTAATGGTATGCTACTTGGAATTAATTTTATGCTGCTTTTAGCTAATGCTATGCTGCTTTTAGCTAGTATTAGGTATTGTTATTCTTCTGTTAGCCGGTGTTGTGCTGCTTTTAGCTAGTATTAGGTATTGTTATTCTTCTGTTAGCCGGTGTTGTGCTACTTTTAGCTATTGTTATGCTGCTTTTAGCTAGTATTATTCTTCTGTTAGCCAGTGTTATGCTACTTTTAGCTATTGTTATGCTGCTTTTAGCTAGTATTAGGTATTGTTATTCTTCTGTTAGCTGGTGTTATGCTACTTTTAGCTATTGTTATGCTGCTTTTAGCTAATATTGTTATTCTTCTGTTAGCCAGTGTTATGCTACTTTTAGCTATTGTTATGTTGCTTTTAGCTAGTATCATCATTCTTCTGTTAGCCAGTGTTATGCTACTTTTAGCAAGTATTAGGTATTGTTCTTCTGTTAGCCAGTGTTGTGCTACTTTTAGCTATTGTTATGCAGCTTTTAGCTAATATTATTATTATTCTTCTGTTAGCCAGTGTTATGCTACTTTTAGCAATTGTTATGCTGCTTTTAGCTAGTATTAGGTATTGTTATTCTTCTGTTAGCCAGTGTTATGCTATTGTTATGCTGCTTTTAGCTAGTATTATTATTATTCTTCTGTTAGCAAGTGTTGTGCTATTTTTACCTGTTTTTATTCTGCTGTTGCCTTGTAGCATGCTACTTTCAGGTCCCATTTTGTTATTTCTTGCTAGGTTTTGCTGTGTGAGCTAGCATTTAGCTGTTTTGGGCTAATGTTTTAGTTCTGAAGAACTCCACACAGAAACATGAGATTTGTGACGTTTTTGTTTTTGTTTATTTATAATCATCACTAGAGGACATTCACAGTAACCCTCGAGTCTCGGCCCCTCCTCCCCGTTAGTTAAAACAGCTAAAAGAACCAGAACAAGCTTTACAAAATCCACCCCGAGAGAGAAAAAACAACAGCCGAAGGAAACCAGATAAGAGCCGGTTTGAATCAGTCCGTCCTCAGAGATGAAACTGTCTGAGATCTTAAAAATATATTTATGTTTACACTCTGCTGTTGTTTACTGTACAAACTGTCGACGTGTTCCCTGTGGCAGACATGCAAAGACCTCAGTGCTGCTGGAAACCGGGCCGACTCAGCAGAACGTAACGGTTCTGAGGTCCAAAAAGCTTCGACCCGGCAGGAATCATACGTCTCTAAACTTTTAGTTTTAGACCGTGTTTATTAAATGAGCCTGAGCTGCTGGGAGTTAAAGGGTTGTTTATTTCATTTCAGTCGTTTGTAGAAAATAAAAATCAAACTGTCTGGAGAATCAAAGTAAAATGTTCAAAAACACAATTTAAAATTAGAATTTTGCTCCAATTGATCACAAACATATATTTATATTTTCAAACATGAAATGAACATTTTAATTGTTGTAGATGAGTCTTTGGAGCGACTAGGGAGGAAAATGTTTGTTTCAAACCAAAGTCCAAAACTGAACCAACAGTTTTAGGTNGATGAAGGGTTTATTATTACAGACAGGTGTCTATTTACTGTCCACATCTTCAGCTGCAGCCATGTTGATTTAAATGAGCTGCAGTGAATTTTATTTGAAGATTTTATATTAACCTCTTCAGCCCCAAAAACAGCATTTTCTGTTTTTTATTTCTCTTAACTTCAGATGTGTGAGTTGAACCTGGACATGTTTGGTATCAACAGAAAAATAAAAGCTCCTGGAAACCATATTTACATGCAACAAAAACAGTTTAAATGACAGTTGAATCAGAAATTAAACAAACTGTACAAAATGGGATTGTTGCAAATCTGTAAAGAAAAAACATACATTTGTTTTTAAAACAGGTCAAATCAGATACCAAAATGTGGGTTGAGAGTTTATTTTTTTAACTTGATTCTGAGTGAATATGATCCAGCTGATGTCAAATATAAGTTCTCATTATTTTATATAATAATTGTGACCCGTTGCATCGAAACGAGGATTAAGTCCAAAAGTGGTATAAGGAGAAAAAGGCAAATATAGTGTTTTGATTAAAATGTTGTCAAAATATAATGAATAAATGCCTTATTAATGAATCATCTGAATGAACTGTCTGAAATTTAATCATAAAACAAAATTTTGAAGCACTTTTTTGAGCAGTAGCAACAAAAAAACAACTGATTTTGAGGAAAAACACCTTAAAATGTTAAGATTTTCCCTGTGAGTTAATAAAGTTTTGTTTCTTTTTATCTGGTAAATCTCATTATTCAAATATATTTTGAGGTTTCCTCTTTAAAAGGACATCAAATATTCCTCAATAAAATGACATAAAATTAGGATTCAGACCAAATATTTATGTATTATTG